AATAATAATAATAATAATAATAATAATAATAAGTTATTTAGTTTAAGCTTCAGGTCAAGTTGATCTGACGAGAATCTGATCTGAATAGTTGCAGGCGGGTGCATCACGCTTCAAGTTCGGGTTCACCTGATCCGAACTTGATCAGAGTAATTACAGACGAGCCGCTCAATTTCAGATCAGGTTTTGTTCCATGGGGACAAACCCTCTTCCGAAAAATTGGCATTCCAATTGTTGATTAATAATTGATTACTAACAAAAAAACTTACAGGCATTGGACTTGAGAACATTCATTAGTGCAATATGTAAAAAAAAGAATTAGGTGAAAAAAATTTTTCCTCCAGAAATTTATGCATCCGTTCCCTACAATTACTATCTCAGGTGAGATGAATACAAGTCAGCTTACATATCTAAAAGATAATGTGCTCTTTTCTATTTGCGTTGGCAAATATTTCTCGAAATTCGTGGTCATTTCCCTAGCAATGCCACCTATTCATGATCTTATCAAGACTTGTACTTAAATTCAAGTTTCGAGTTTCACTTGTTATCAAGAAATACGACTTTGATTCGATATTCCACTTCGACATTATCGAATTTCGAGATTATCGTAGTCTCTGCTATTAATATACTAGCACTTTTAGGGCGCGTTATGTACGCCTGGCAAAACGTTTGCAAATTATTGTTTGCTATTTTTCATTCAATGACAGAACAAAAATCACTACATAATCCTATCGCATTGTATATCTATTTCAGAATGAAATGTAGAAAAAACAAGTGATTAATCCATAATCACAAATTTTCTCACGATACAATTTCCCTAGACTCGCCTTTAATATATTAGAGAAATGCTGAGATAATATTTCCCATGCTATTTTTGATCGAATGCATATATGAATTTATATAAAGATCATCTATGTTCGTTTTCTTATTTGACAAGTTTTTCAATCAGATGTGAGATGGAGTGGACAGATAAATGACAATGAATTTCACATATGTGATATGTATTTGCAACTAATTATATGCTCCTGTATGTTATATATTTTTTATATCATTTTAAGAAGGGAAATCAAAAGATACTTCTGAAGTAACTCAAGTACTTTCTTGAGAAATTCCGTCTACATTCTCCGCAGGAAGCTACCAATTCCAGGAGTACTCTGATGATATGTAAAGTGCAGACCATTGAGAACACACAGAAAACAAACATCCTTGAATTAGCAATATTGTACGCCTAAACTAGAAATAAGTGTATCAGTAAAGTGTATTAATGAGTTAGGATTACATATTGTTCTCATATTATTAATTTCTCAACAGGCAATATCGAATGGTTGTTTTAAATCAAGGTTATCCATCATTTATACATGTTGACTAGATTTTCGATCATAACTACATGATACATGAACTACACATATCTACAATAGTTCATGAAATATATGTTCGTTATTCTCGTAGATATATGGACAGAGTATAAGACGTGCACATAAGAATTCAACACAGTTATGTTTGTGCACAGATGTAAAAATGAAATTGAATATGCACATTTGATTTTTAAACGTGCTCATCCAATTTAAGCACAAGATTTCACTCTATTATGTTGCACACAGTGTTATTTTTCTGCATCCACATAATATAATATGTGTACAAAAAAATGTACACTCGAAATTGTAATCAATGTTTTTCGTAAAAATCGTACACATTGATATAATTTAAAATAAAAAAGTGTGCATATATTTTTTTATGCTCAAGGGAAACAAATTTTATTTGTATACGTCTAAGGCTATAACGGGCACAAAAATAATACGCGTTGTAATTTATGTTCACGGTATTAGTCGTGCACGTAAACTTTAACATATGTAATTTCGAATTTCCGTGTTTTGTTTCATTTTATTTACATGTTCCGGATGCCAATTTAATCAAAGTGACATTTCTCAACATCGAAATAGATTTGCTGAAACTTGTAAGTAAATGATTAATCTCTCCGGTTTTTAAATTCATATATTTATTTCTTTATTCTTTAAAAAATAATGTTTTTAATATTTTCTCGATCGCGAATCCCTTTAGGAAGGCATAGATAGGATATTTGGATGGCTGTTGAAATTTTTTTGAAGCGCCGCAGTAAGTAATTTAAATTGTCTTCAACAGTGTACGGTATTACTGATTACCGACCACCGAGAAATTTATCGAATTCTTTGGCATCAGACAATATAATAACAAGATCTTTGCATGTAAATTGTTCCTTTCCAAATTGGTTCTTACAGTGTTTGTTGTTAATTTCATTAAATAATTTTCTCTCAACCTCGGTGATGAAGTAACTCTTTATACATAAACAACTGTATGTCTGAGTGCAAGTAGTTCAGATACGTGTTGAGTAGTTTAGCCTCAAGTATCCTAACAGCACAGTACTTCTCACCAGTTCGGTATATGTAATGTGACATTTGTCGAATGTGATGTGATGACTTACTACATGTTAAATAAATGCCATTGTCATAAATTAAAAAATAGATAAAATGAA